CTCTCTCTCTCTCTCTCTCTCTCTCTCTCTCTCTCTCTCTCTTTCTCTCTGTATGTCTGTCTGTTTCTCTCTCTCTCTCTATCATTATATACAATAAGGTCATATAAGAGCCGAAGATAAGAGGTGTTACAAGAGAGTAACAAACATTTTTTAAAAAGACGGAGAGATCAGGACGATAGCTGTTTGATAGGAAAGAAGGAGCAAACCACACCAGAGCACCAGTCAACCATCCACAAATACAGATTATGTTTGTCGTAGTGGTTATGTTTGTCGTAGTGATTATGTTTGTCGTAGTGGTTTGGGTGGTGAGGTGAAAGAGCATGACATAAGCCTTGCCTTTCAACATCATCATCATCATCATCATCATCATCATCATCATCATCAAGTGCCAGATCTGCAACAGACATCAGTGATCATTGTTCTCCATTCATTCCTTTCCTCGGATGCTCTAAAAAAAGCTACGTTTCCCTGAACTTTCCCAGTCACCCACTTGTTCAGGTTCCCCAAGTAGGTTGCTCTGGGCCTACCCCCTGCCTCTCTTGCCTTCCATTTAGCCAGTGAGAGCTGGATGTTCAAGACCCTTGTCTATTCAGGTGTCCCAAAAACTGCATTTGCCGTTTCCTACCTTTACCGAAAAAAACAACCCAACTTACTTTTACCGTGTGGGTGGTTGGCGGGTGCTCTGGTGTAGTTTGCTTCTTCTTTCCTATGAAACGTCTATCGTCCTTATCTCCCCTTCTTTTTTATGTTTGTTTCTCTCTTGTAACACACCTCTAATCTTCTGGCGCTCATATAACCTCATGCAGCTGCAAGTGCCATAAAACTCTTACTAAAACTGCGAGACTGTTTTTCTCATATAAATTTTTACACATATACATTTATATTATATCATGCATAATACTTTGTTTTACGTACAGGCATGTCAATTAATTTTTAAGGTGTGATGTCTTTTTCGTTGTAATGCGCATTGAGCATTTTTTAGAAAATGGAAATGCGCAGTATAAATGTTATTTATTATTATTATTAAAACTTACTAACCATTACCGCGACACTTTCCCTTCCTTCAGTGGATACGCCAAACAACTGCCCGGACTACGTCTGTCCGGACGACGTTCCTCGGTACAACTACATCGACTGGAACGACAGGAGCTGCAAGAACTATGTGAGCTGCAAGAACGGAATTCTCAATAACGAGACGTGTGGGGACGGAGAGAAGTTTGACGTCATTTCGATGAAATGCGTCTCCGAGTCGGCGGGAGTGTTCTGTGACATCTTTAGGCAATAAACGAAATAACCTGAAGTTCTGACTGCGTGACTGTATTGTTGTACGTTAAAGGGAAGTAACCACTGTATTGTACATTAAAGGGAAGTAGCCAAACTGCTGCAATGTATTGACTGTTCGGATTATTTTAAATTTTGACTCCTTTTTAAAAAATACTTTTATAAACCTTACTGCATATAATGTGGTATTTTTCTGCAAGAATCTCTTTCGTCTAAGTAGACAGGATATTGTATTACACTGTTCTGCCTTTGTTTTTCAATAAAAATGAATTTCATAAATAAAACACTACTGTTATCAGTAGAAGTTCATTTTAGAAAAGTATCAAGGCTTATTTCTCCCAACGAGCGAGAGATTATTGTCTACGATTTTATGTCCTAAGCTAGCTAAGACATTTCATCCACGACATTCTGACTCCTCCATTGCTATCTGCAAGGCTTTTTCCTTCTTCTTTCACTCAATATAATAAAGGCCCAGCGTTTTGTTGGGGGTTTTTTTTTGGGGGGGGGGGGACGGGTTCACAAGTCTCTTTGCTATGCTCCGAAAAAATATTTCTTCTTCGTCTTTCTAAATCCGTGCATTCCATATATATATATAGGATTCGTTCTGTTTTTCTTCTTTCCCCTCTTTTCCCTCACTTTGAAGAAATGTTTTGTTTGACTGTTCTCTCTCTTCCGAAACACGAGCGACGCATCATAGCAGTGGCAGTGTCGTCCCCCCAACCCTTGTTAAAATCTTTAAATCTTTTTTTAGAAAAGAATGTCAAGGGTGTTTATTCAAATTTACTTGTCACCCTACATATATAAGTATACAAGATCAATGCTTTTAAGAAGATGTATTATGACTATCTGCAGCTTAGCCTGAAGAAAAGGGGAGAGGGGAGGGGGGGGGGGATGCTATGTGGTTATGGGTTGTTTTTTTTATTTGAAAAGCTGAGGAGATGTATATGCCATCAGAACTGATGCTTTTATAATTAATGTTATCACTGTTATCATTACTGTTGTCTACTTTATTAGTAAATGTATTATTATTATTGTTATTGTTTTTATTTAAATCATTGTTATTATTGTTATTGTTATTATTTATATCTTTATTATTATTATTTTTATCACTATTTTTATTATTTCTTCTTTCTTGTTGTTGTTGTTGTTGTTCTTCTTCTTCTTCTTCTTCTTCTTGTTTTTCTCCTCCTCCTCCTTCTTCTTCTTCTATTATTATTATTATTATTATTATTATTATTATTATTATTTTTATTTTTATTATTCAACGCTGCTGTTCGTAGTATTATGCTCTCATTTCAATTCATGTTCCCATGAAGAAGGAAGAACTCAAAGAGGAGTTATACATTTTTATATCATAGAACAAGATTAAACCGATGAGCTATCTAATTCCTTGTTTTTATGGTCTGTTAAAAGGTGTGTGTTCACTGTATGTGTATGATGATGTGGCCGGCGTTTGCTGTGTAGTAATTATGGTCAAGCTGTTCCGTTTTAGATTCAAAAGATGTCTGCTGAGATACTGATGGGTGGTTGGCGGGTGCTCCGGTGTGGTTTGCTTCTTCTTTCTTATGAAACTTCTACCGTCCTTATCTGCCCTTCTTCTTTTTTATGTTTGTTACTCTCTTGTAACACCTCTAATCTTCTGAGGATCATATGACCTTATGCAGTTGCGAGTGCCGTAAAACCTCTACAAAAATAGATTTTTAAAATGAGATACTGTATCCTCACTCTGTCATCTGCTGAGATACTGTATCCCCCACCCAGCCTGCTGAGATACTGTTTGTTTTTTTGTTTTTGTAAAGTGTTTTACGGCGCTCGCAACTGCATAAGGTCATATGAGCGCGCGGGACACACCTAATATTTTCAGTTGGTAGGAAATTTGGAATTTTGCCCGGGTGGCGGCCGAAGCCTACTCCTATCGATTTTAGACCACCAAGGGATCTTTAACGTGCGCAACTTGCACACGGGCCCTCAGAGATTTTTCGCCCTTGTCCGAGAAGGCTAGGTGTAGATCTTTCCTACCAGAAGATCAGGGGTGTGGCAGAAAGACATCAGTAAGGAGGAGCCAAGGAGTAGCAGTAGAAAGGCTGCAGAAAGAGTCAGGAGCCCAGAGGAGGGGGCAAAGGAGGTGAGGGGGTGGGGGCAGAAAATGGAAATGAAAGCAGACGACAGAACATTGCTAGAGAGCAGGAAGGGAGGTGAAAGGAGACAATTTTAGAGAAGAAAATTTTTCGGTCGCTATCCGGATTCGAACCCGGGACCTTTGAATGAGAGGCCAACACCTTAACCTCTAAGCCACGAGAGCCCCCCTGAGATACTGTATCCCCCCCTTAGTCTGCTGAGATACTGTATCCCCCACTCAGTCTGCTGAGATACTGTATCCCCCACCCAGCCTGCTGAGATACTGTATCCCCCACTCAGCCTGCGGAGATACTGTATCCCCCACTTAATCTGCTAAGATACTGTATCCCCCCACTTAGTCTGCTAAGATACTGTATCCCCAGTCAGTCTGCTGAGATACTGTATCCCCGACCAGCACAGGCTGGCCGTGACGGGCAGAGCCTCGAAATTAAAATAAATTCCATAGTAAAAACCCTCAAAAACAGCATAGACAGCTCGTTATACGTTGACGACTTTTTGATATGCTGCCGTTCAAAAAATCCTCATTTGAGATCTATGGAAAGGCAGCTGCAAACGCAGCTGCACAAACTCGAAAAGTGGGCAAACAATAACGGTTTCAAGTTCTCCCCGTCAAAGACGGTTGCAGTACACTTCTGCCGAACAGGCAGACGTGTGCTGCAGCCAGATTTGACGCTATACGGAGAAAGGATTCCCGTCCAGGACCAAGCTCGTTTCCACGGCGTCATTTTCGACAAAAACCTCACATTCATACCACACATCAAAGACCTTCGTGTGAGGTGCCAGAAAGCGCTAAACGCTTTGAAAATTCTATCGCATCCGGAGTGGGGCGGGGATTCAAAACACCTTCTCCACTTGTACATCTCCCTTGTCTGGTCCAGGCTTGACTACGGCTGTCAAGTCTACGGATCGGCAAAACCACACATCTTAAAAATGCTAGACCCAATATAAAACCAAGGACTCCGCCTCGCTCTGGGGGCTGTCCGCACTTCTCCGGTGGAGAACCTCCAGCCCGAGGCCAACATACCACCACTCTCACTCAGACACACACAACTCTCACTACAATACGCAGTTAAACAGAGCTCAACACCGGAAAATCCAGCGCACAACTGCATTTTTAAAACAAACCCAGAAACCATAAAAACATTCCAAAACAACGAAAAACTCACCAAACCCTTCGGCCTCAGAATACTTGAGGACCTCAAAAACTTACACTTTTCCAAACAAGACATCCAACAAATTCTTTTCCCCGACCTCCCTCCGTGGCACCTCACCAAGGCAAAAGTAGATTTACAGCTGACCACACACAACAAAGAAAGCACAAACACCAAAACATTTCAAGCAGAATACAAAAAACTAATAAATACCCCGGTGCGGAGCTCATCTTCGCGGATGGCTCCAAAAAAGACAACGAAGTGGGTGCGGCAGCCCTATCTCCCAACAGTACACACCAGAGGAGACTCCATCCTGAAGCCTCCATTTTCTCTGCGGAGGCCACTGTCATTGACATGGCACTGGAATCCGTAGAAAATTCTCCAAACAAATCTTTCCTAATCCTTTCTGACTCTCTGTCATCTGGCACCACCTCACTCACAAACTACACACTCTTACACCCAAAAATAGTTAGGCTACAACAGAAAATTCATACACTATCCGAGACAGGAAAAAACATCATGTTCGCATGGATACCTAGCCATGTGGGCATCCGAGGAAACGAGCAGGTAGACGACCTGGCGAAGAAAGCTTCATCCCTTCTGCTGGGATCAACGACAAACACTCACCCACAGACTGGCTTTAGAAATAAAGTAAAAAAGTACACCTCCAGTCTGTGGGAGAGCCACTGGGAAAAACAGAAAAACAATAAACTGTATGTTATAAAAACCCAAACTGAAACAGCGAAATCCTTCGGATCGGATCTCTCCAGAAGAGGCGAAGTCATTTTTACTCGATTGCACATCGGACATACGGCCCTGACCCAGAAACACCTCCTACAGGGAGATGAAAAGCCGTTCTGTGTTGGATGCGACACAGATTTTACCGTTAGACACATCTTAACCGAATGTCTAGACTTTGGAGAGATCCGAAGGAAATATTATAAATGCAAGAAATTGCAAGACATTTTTCCGTTTTTGTTCCCAGCAGAGTTCTGAATTTTATGAAGGCCATTGGCCTTTATGGCAACTTGTAAAGTGAAACAATATTGTTTAACAATTTTTATTGTTATTTATAAGAGTTGTTTTAAATCGCAAATATATTTACACTGAATTCTAGTATTTTAGCATTTTAGTCTAATTGTCGACCAACCGTGCAGTGAACTGTTGCGAATGCTACCAACTTGTATTTCGCGCGCTCATATGACCTTATGCAGTTGCTAGCGCCGTAAAACCCTGTACTACTACTACTACTACTACTACTACTACTCATAATATAACATTTATATGCGTTATAAAAAGCTGAAAGTATCTTTATTAGTGTGTCTTCCTACAATTTTGGGTAACTTGGGCGGTAGGTCGTTACACTTTTTGTATTGGTTATAATCTTTTACTTTTTGTGCATTCCTAATTGTAAAATAGAACAAATTATTATGTTTATGCCCAGGTTCTGGCATTTTGTGTGTTTCTGTGCACGGCTAAACTCAACCAAAAGTAACTGCGTTATAAAAAGCTGGAAATATCTTTACTACTTTGTCTTCCTACAATTTCAAGTAAATTGGGTGGTCGGATATTACAGTTTTTGTTTTGGTTATAATCTTTTAGTTTTTGAGCATGCCTAATTGTACCCAAAAAAAACAAAACAAGAAAGGAATATGTTTTAACCCAGTTCTGGCATTTTAAAAGTTTCTGGGCACTGCTAAGCTCGTTCGAACCTAAATGTGTTGTATAAAGCTGGAAGTATCTTTTATACTTTAACCTCCTACAATTTTGAATAATTTGGGCGGTCGGTCGTTACATTTTTTGCATATGTCTTTAAGTTTTAGTTCATGCGTATTTGTAAAAACCAACAAATTATTATGTTTTAACACAGGTTCTCGTATTTTAATAATTTATAGGTATCTGTGCCCGGCTAAACTCTATCGAAACTAACTCTGTTATAAAAAGTAGAAAGTGTCTTGATGGCTTTGAAATCTCACACTTTTGAGTAACTTGGGCGGTTGGTCGTTACACTTTCTGTATTGGTTATAATCTTTTAGTTTTTGTGAATGTCGAATTGTACAAAAACAAAAAAGTAATATTTTAACCCAGTTCTGGCATTTTATAGGTTTCTGTGTAAGACTAAATTCTTTTGAAATTAAATGCGTTGTAAAAAGCTGAAAGTATCTTTGTTACTTTGAAGTCCTACAATTTTGTGGAATTTGGGCTGTCGGTCGTTACACTTTTTGTCATGGTTTTAATGTTTTAATTTTTGTGGATGCCTAAAGGTAAAATACAACAAACTATTATGTTTAAGAAAGAGTTCTGGCATTTTATAGTTTTCTGTGAATGGCTAAACTCTATCAAAATTAACTAAGCTATTAAAAAGCTAGCTGTATCTTTATTACTTTAGTCCTCCTACAATTTTTAGTAACTTCAGTGGTCGGTCGTTACACTTTTTGTATTGGTTATAATCTTTTAGTTTTTGTGAATGAGTAATTGTACAAAAAAAAGAAGGTAATATAATGTTTTAACCCAATTCTGGCATTTTATATGTTTCTGCGCACGGTAAACCTAAATCGAGTCTAATAAATATGTTTTATAACACTAGAAGCAGCTTTATTATTTTCTCCTTCTTCAATTTTGAGTAACTTGAACGGTCGGTCGTTACATTTTAGGCATATATGATTATCGCTTAGTTTTTCTTCATGCCTAATTGTAAAAAACGACAAATTATTATGTAGTAACACAGGTTCTGGCATTTCAT